TTCCAGTTCTTGTCGGCGCCCAGAGCAAAGGCCATGCACATAACAGGTAGATTATGCACAACAGCTGCTTTGTATAGCAACAGATTGGCATCTAACTGCGTGAAGGGCACTTCTTCTGGCATCTCAGCGTCAGACTCGCCTTCAGTACTCTCCTGATCACTGCCCAAGATACCGGGCGTTTCATAGCGGTCCAAAGCCAAATCATCACCAATTACAAGTAAATCATCGCGCGATATGCTTAGCGACATTGAGGGAATGTTTATCGATTCATCATCATCATCATCGTCCAATTCGTCACCAGTTTTAGCCGTGTTGTATATACTCGGATCATCGCTAAGGGTCTTGGGTAACGGTCTCTGCTGACGTCGCCGCCTCAACTTTTTCACTGCCCACTTGCGTGTACCGCCCAGCGAGAGTGTCGCACGTTTGCCAAGAAGTCCACCGCCGCCGCTCCTACCACCACCTTCACCACCATCTTCAGCTGTTTCACCACTTTCTATGCTTAGCACTTCGGCCGTTTCACTCGACAGCAGATCCTGAGGCTTGGGCATGCCACAGACAAAACGCCGCTCCACATACTTGGCCTTGATCCAGGCTTCGCGCACTCCAATCTCACATTGCTCTGAGGGTTTCCTAAGCTCGCAGTCTTCGCCGATTCGCGCCTCGTAGATACGATTCACGACCTCGTTTCCCAGCTCCATCATTACTTTGACATTCTCCGTCTCCCAAGCGTCCAGTGTCAGGGAGCGCACCTTGCTGTAGTGCACGCCCAGGCTGCGATGCACACCTGAGCATTCGATGCACAGCGTTATGCCCAAATTGATGGAGGCCCAGCGGGGATCTGATCCGCGACAGTCGCAGCACTGCGCATTGCCTGGTATCTTGAGAAACTCCTCCCAATGACTAAACATGATTCATGCTGGTACTGTTATCTATGTAGAAAAATATATATGCATTTTTTCACACTTACATTCGTCGCTTGGCGGGCAGCGCATTCGGAGCATTTGTCGACTGTGGTCGTGAGTGATGCGTGGAGGCGTGTTGTATGGCCGCGCCAATGCTGTGCTGCAGCGCGGAGATCCACAACGAGAGCATGTCCGCCGAGTCCGCTTGGAGTGTGTGTGACCTATTTTAAAGAGAATCCACTTAATTATGTAATGTAATTGGGGCTGGGAAGGATTACTCACTTGGTTGGCGATATCACCTCAAAGCAGAAGCGGCGATCGCCTTCGTTGACCGGCCGCACAGTACAGATGCGCAGATCCTCCTCCATGACCGAAAACGAGTCCTCATTGCTGCGTTTTCTGGAATGCGAATCCAAATCACTTCAGCGTACGGCACAACAAATCACAATCACAACAACAACACAACAACAGAAATCAGAATACGAGTACAAAATGGCAAACAAATGACGATTTAACCGGCAAGCAAAACGAATGGGAAAAATCAAAAGAAATGTGCAAGATAGAAACTATAGATTTTGCACCCACCTGTAGACCAGCTGATTTTCACTGAGGTAGAACCAACGTCTACACCAGGTCTTGAAACCCTTTGACTTTTTCTTAAACAGATACCCCTCGACATTGTGCGAGGCGCTGTTCGTATTCGAATCGCAATAACGATTCACGCTCATGTGTCGATTCTGCATGACCTTTTCCAGCTGCTGATAGTCACCGCGCAGAGCATTCAAATCCTCGCTGATATTCTTGAAGAACTCGTCAAAGTCGTTGCACAAATCGAAGCCCTGATGGTAATAGGTCACGCACGCCTGATAATAGTCCAGCAACTGTCAAAGAGAATACACAACGATCAGCATAAAAACACGTCCACAATTGCTTTTATTTATAAATAATATGAATACACATTGCCCCATATTGTAGACGTTCAACGAACCTGCAACGAGGGCAGTTCACAGCCAACTAAAAATGCTGCCCGGTGCCAACTGACTCAACGCTGATCAATGGGCCGGCGATATCAGAAAAGCACACTACATACATATCCATTAAGAGTGTATCGCGAATATTGCGTCATAAGCACAACAATTGTTGTTGATTTTATTTATTTACGTTAAAGACAATGAGTTTTCATTCACAGTACCCATATCGCCTGACCATAATGTCGATAAGAACTATAAATAATACCAAGCTCTACTTATTTTGCCAAATATTAATTTTATCTTTTGGAAATCTATGAATAACTATAAGTATGTATTACTCTGTTTACTCTGGTCTGGATTGTTAGTCCTATCTGAATAGTTTTCTAGTTAAGCCTTTTTCTGCGAATTAACAAGAACTTTCCAGCTAAAGAAAACGATATCCCAAACTCGTTAGCCTGGTCATCAAACACTCACTTATGAATGTACATTCATTTTTCAACACAAAACGGTTGCTTCTCAGAACAATTTGTCTGTTATCAATTCTTTTTTTTTTTGGTTATTTTCAGGTGTTGAAACTGAAAGTCTGTATTGTATGTATATACTCGAATGGAAAATATTGTGCTTTAATCATGATTAATATTTTACAAAATGAACATTAGTACCTTAAATTTGAGTATCTCTTAGCATGTCCAATTTCTTATATACCTACTCAGCAGTTTCTATTTATTTAGTTTCTTAACGTATTAGACTTGATATTCTTTGGTTATTACTATTACCTTCTGATGACTATATTAATCTAACTAGTATCATTAGCACTGACTCCACTCTCGCTTACTAAAAATATATTCAATAGAGAGATTTTCAGAACTTACCGTAGAAAGTATGGAAGGTACTTTGCGCGCCTGAACTAGCGTTATGTAGTTGACATAGTCCAGAGCGGTGTGCTGGAAGCAAGACTTGGAGGCGGAGAGAATATTTGCAGCCTCCTGGACTTCCTGTGGTCGATTTTTGCTCGCCTGTTGATTTAAGGATAGATGTTCTTAGCGTGGACAACAATTTCGAATATTTCTACAGTACGCACCTGTGCGTTCTTAATGAGCGCATTGTCGTAGCCCTCGGAGACCTTTAGGAAGTGTCCTTTATAGTCCTTGACCTGGTTAATGTCGTCTTTGACAAACACGTTGAGATTTTTTAATACCGTTCGACTGGCCTGATCCAATAATATCGTATGAAACTTGTTCATTTCCTATAAACAAAGAAAGGACATTTTAATATATAAATTCATTAGGTAGTTTGCCTGCCCGAATGACGCACCTGGAAGCAATGAATCAGCTTGCCGAGCGCATTGTGCGCATTTTTATTGTCGAGAAAATGCTGCTGCAGATCCCACAAGGACATGGCAAATGCGCTAAAAGTCATAAACAAGCAAGCGTTAAAATGTGCATCAGATAAGAATATAATAGAAGAATATAAAGTGCGCAGTTTACCTCTGATTCTTGACATATTCCTTGCCCGAGTCGACGGCCACATTGCACAGCTTGATGATTTTCTCCAGCCTCTGCTCCAAATGTTCAATGTCCGCCTCCTCTTTGGATACAAATTGTCTGTGCCAAAGCAAATGAAATACGTTAGCAAAATCTTTTGGACCCAGCTGTTGTTGTTTGATTGATGTAAACAACGAGGCAAGTGCCGATGCTGAAGAAGCACGGAGTCGCTGTCGCAAGTGATTAACGTTGCCCACTGTGTGCTTAATCAGGGGAATTTTCATGGAGGGGGCGAGCGAGGGTTTACGGGCCTGCAGGCAAAGGCAGCTACGTCGCAGTTGCCACTCTTGCTGTTTATTTATGTTGACTCTTTTAATGTATGCCACTTTATTAAAGTGCTGTTTGTGCGTTTAATTAAAGGCGCGCTTTAAAGCCAGGCGCAAAAACTGCAGACGTGAACGATATAGCAAACTTGGAGTGAAATGAAGCCTATTGTCTATGTTTAAATATATAACTTATTCTCCCTTGTCTTAGTCACAAATGTTTTTTAACATGTCGCGTGGCTTCGCCCCATGTGAAAGCTATTGAAATATATAGCCAAGCTGGGCTGGCAATTAAAAAATGTCTATGGCAACAAGCGAAAGCTTTTGTCTTTGGGCGAGATTAACCACGGCAAGTCTGTCTTGCCTGGGAGAAATCTTATCAATCAGCGCCGAAAATCGCGTTCAATCGCTTTGCAGAGCAATTAGTAACAAATACACACACATGCATAGGCACAAACACACACACACACATGTGTGTGTGTGTGTGTGTTTCACATCATGCTGTGCTTGAATGATAAATTCCAAAACACTGACGATGTGGAAGTCAAGTGCAAAGTTTTTTCGATGATGATTAAGCGGCAGCAATATTTGAGCCGCGCTAGAAGACGTTGCAGGGGGGAAGGGGAAAGGGGAGGGGGCGGCGGGTCTGAGCCAACGAAAGCTGTTGATAGCACGATATCCATGCGGAACCAGTCACGCCAGAAAAAAGCCACTGTCATGAAGCCTAAATGCAAATACCAAATGCGGAAATATAATGCGCAGTGTGTGTTGACGGAAAGGGGGGAATGGGAAAGGGGGCGAGGGAGGAAGCGTTTGTGAGCGCGAGAGGAAGCAAAGGCTCAACTCAATACGCACCTGAATCTTGGCGAATCCTTCAGGCACTCCTCAAATTCAATTGTGGCGCGCATTGTTAAAGCACACACACGCGACGGTGTACTTGACCTGCAGTATTTGCACTGTTGGCTATTTACACAAATCGCTTAGCGAAATTTTTGGCTTCCTTCAGCTGTTGCTTCTGGCACAAAAATTGATTCTGTTGATTGAAGCGATGCAGTGCCTAGATGCTGGCAGCTGAGTTGTAATGACACGCGCACATTTTTTTCAGGCCGCAGCCACACATGTAAGCTGAGCCACTAATTAATTGAGGGCTGGCGTATTTAAAGATAATTTACCAAAATTTGCCACAAAGCGACGCACACAACAAAACGTCGTCGTCTCACTTTCTACACGCGCTCAATAACGTGCTAATTTTGGGCAAAACGCATCGACAGTGTTGTAAAACAATCGAGTGGCATTTCAGCGCTGGGCAGCACTAGCACTGCCTTTTGGTTCTTCTGCTTCTTTTGCCTGGTGCTGTTTTTGTGTAATCTAATTTTTCTATAAAAACACAGTAATTATCAATGCACAAAAGTTTTGCATACCATTTAAAAGTGCCAAGTGCTAATTTCTTGTATAAAACTATGGAAGTGAAGCGCTGAATAGTTGTTGAAAGTCGTCGTCGTTGCCGCAGTCGTCGTCTTGTGCTTTTCATTTGTTTACCCTTTGTCTTGTGTTCTTGTTCTACGTGTTTGCCTTCCGTGTTCATATCAACCTGCATACATCTCTCTGACGTCACAACGCGGCAAACACACCCCGCCAGGAAACATTGACCTATCTGATCAACCGTAAGATCGACCGACCAAGTGACCAATTGGCACAGCGCAGCGGAATGTGGAAGTGCCACAAGTGCGGCAAACCCGTTTACTTTGGTAATTTAAACACCCACATATGCATGTGCTTATACACACACACACACACACACACACATCACACACAATCATAAAATCGTGATGTGCATGCCATTTGTTTAAATAACAAACATTCAAATTACATATTTCGATTCAACATAGCGGAACGTAAACAATCATTAGGCTACGATTGGCATCCGGAATGTTTGCGTTGCGAGGAGTGCGGCAAGCGACTTAATCCCGGCCAGCATGCAGAGGTATTTAATTAAAGCCAGCATTTACTTCAATATGCAATTATTCACATGCATTTCGCTTCCAACTCTTATAATAGCATAAAGGAGTGCCTTATTGTCATGTGCCCTGCTATGGTGCGCTGTTCGGACCGCAGCTTTTTGGTCATGGCACGCGCGTTGAGTCACACAAAAGTTATGGAGTAAAAGGCGCCCAGAAACCAGTCGCCGCTCAGGCTAATGGACCAGCACTGCCACGCGATCACTTGGAGTCTAAGCTGAAGGTCTGACGCATGTGTATAATCTCAAGCATAGAATCTTAACTAGATAAGTTTTTGAATTGCAGGTTTACAATCAGTTTTATGACAATAAAAGCCTGGAGATACGCAGTCGCGAAGTGAATAACCGTTTGGTCTTGGAAGGCCCATTGCGTGTCTTTTGGGGCGTTCAAGGCGTCATTCATCTGAAGGAGGACGATGATCAGCGCACGTTTATAGTGCGCAAGCGCAACTCCTGCCGTACGTCCAAGGCGGCGGATGTACGTTCGAATAAGCCAATTGTTGAAAATAGTTTTATCGTTTTTGTTTTGTTTTGGCAAACAGGAAAGCTGTTCAGACAAGGAGAACGAAGCTAGCGACTCGGTGGCACCTCCCACGACCACGGCTAGCGAGATGGATCCACTTTCCACGGACATTTCACTGTCGGAAAGCATGACCTTCGACTCGTGCAGTCTTAATGAGATATCCGAGTTGCCGACAACACCTGAAGATGCATCCGCGATTACGTCAGGCAGTGGACAGTTGGTAAATGGGAAGCCAAATGCCAACAATGATGAAGAGGATATAACAAGTACGGATTCCTCAAGTACACTAATTGGCAGCGGCACGGAGGCAATCACGGCCAGCACCAGCTGTGCGTCAAGTACGTTGCCCTCTAAACTGGATAATCTGGAGAAATTAGAGTGGGATGATATTGACGACTTGCTGCAAGTGGAGCGGCGTCACAGTGAAAAGGATAAGATCTATGGAACGATGCCCGTCAAGTTGCCCTCTTCTTCGTCGCAATCGTCCAGCGAGAGTTCGCCCAGCAAAACCTGCACGGACAGCACATCTTCTACCAACACGCAAAACAATCAAATAAACTCTGCCTCTTCGCCCACAACGACTACCAATACTACAACAAGCAGTAGCTCAGACAACTTTATGACTGCCACTGGCTCCCTGACTACGAACACCAATACACAAAATACTAGCACTGTGAGCACCAGCAACACCACATTGGAGGACTACAAGACGTCTGACGATACGACGCTAAAGCCCATGGATTTCGAGGATTTCAAGCGCAGCGTTCATCAGGATTATGTAAATGGTGCCAACTCGTTTCAGGAGCCAAATGATGATACCCTTAAACGTAATCAGCCTATCGATCCCTCTCGCATAAACGACTCCCTGAAGTTCTACGGAGAGAATTCGGCTATGAGCAAGAGCTTTAACTGTGAGCACGCGTTGCGCTCCATTGATCCCACACTGATTAATGACACCATGCACTTGCGCAGTAGCGTTGACTCCAGTCGCTCATCGCAGCGTCAGTACGCTTTGCAGAAGAGTGGCTCTGCTTTTGCCTCCACAGCGCCAAGCCGCGAGCAGCATAAGCCGTATGAGCAGGGACGACAGCTCTTCGAAAAGGGCATCAATCGGTCCAAGTCGGGTCCCAGTTGCTTCGTCTATTCCGACAGTGATGATGATGACGATGATGCGACGCTGCGTCCGCATCGTTTGGCCACAGTCCGACGCAGCGATGTGCCTCCGCGTTATATCCAAATTCAAATGAATTGCTATCCCAAAGAAGGTGGAAGGGGTGGTGCCAACGCCGGTGCTGTTGGCAGTGAGAACGAGTCGAGCCGTGCCGATGCATCATCGGTAATGTTCAACTTTAATTTATTGAATGAACGAAATTAAATTATAAGACCTGGCCGCAGATGAAAGAATCGGAACGCAAGCAACATCGATAAAGATTATATGAAGGGAGAGAGTAAGCAGTTGTGCTCAGCCTATTTTGTCCTTTTTTTTTATTATTGCAAAGCTTCTGCTGTACTTATTAGATCGCGACCAAAAGGTGTCTTAGATATACTCTTGCAAATGGTTATATAATATAACTGCCGCAAAATTTAGCAGACCCCATTATATCTATTCTTTATCAGTATCAACATGTGGTCAACATCCGTCTGTCGATTTGAACACCGCTTGTCTGTTTTTTTTATAAACTAGATTCTCCTATCTACCCTAAGAATTAGTTGAATATATTGGGCTGAGTTCTTATTAGAAAAGACTTTAGTGTATAATGGTCAATATTTTGAAGAAATTATTTGAATTATTTCATTAAATAATTTAGGAAAATACTACTAGAAATGTATTTATATGGAAATCACACATTGCCGTGTGTCTGCAAGAGTACTCAAATGTTCGGCAACCTTAAGATTAGAGTATTTATTTGATTGTTCTTGCATTTATTCGAACACCGCAACGTAACGTCTTGTAGCTAATAGTATCTGTGTATAAAATAATGTGCATACCTATAAATGCTTATAATATAATACAACTAAAGTAACGTTAGGCCCGTTAGTTTATTTAAGTTGATAAGAAAATGTACTTTTCGCAAGCATATCGCTATCTATCTTAATAATTCTCTTAACATTTGCTAAGGTGTTAAGCGGTGCTGTGGCTGGCGACGAGCTAACCCAAACGGATGAGCTTTATACGGCCACCGAAGGCAGAGATGCGGCCGATGGCATCGAAACTGCTGCCAATGAGGCGGGCTTGCATGTGAATGAAGATGGTGTTGTGTTGAGAAGACCACCGCGCACTGGAGCTGCAGCAATCAAGCGACGCAGTGGCAATCGGCGGTCAGTAAAATAATTTGAAAGCATATGCAGCGCCTTGTTAAATTGTAATTATTATTTACAGATCCCGCACCAAGCTGAAACGTCGCTGTTCAATCAATGGGCATTTTTACAATCGGGAAACATCGTTTTTTACGCCCCCATATGGCTCTCAAATGTCTGTGTGGGTCTCATCGCTGGTGACCACGCAGGAGGTCATCAATTTGGTGCTAGAAAAGTATAAGGTGGATAGCGCACCGGAGAATTTCTCGCTGTTCATCGTGCGCGACAACGGTGAGCAGAAGCGCCTCAAGGACAATGAATATCCGTTGATAACGCGCATTACGCTGGGACCGCACGAGGATGTTGCACGACTCTTCCTGGTGGATGCGCGTAAAACTGATGAAATCAGGTGAGTCGCCCAGAAAGCGAGTCATATCATATACATATTTATACAACCTGTTGCACCTATGTTTTCAGTAATGAAGTTGCTCAATTTTTAAATCTATCGCTGCCTGAGTGTCGCGCCATTTTGGATCAATATGATCAGGAACTGGCGCGCGAAGTTGTCAAAGTTAAAGAGAGGTAAGCACAAGTTATATATTAATTTATTTATTACAAGTAGATAATGGGCATCTTTGAAAATGAGTAAAACCGATCGGACACATATTCAACTTTTGCATAGCTTAACATAATCCTCCATTGCCTACCCTATGGGAAAGTTTGTCTACTCAGATGTTTCAAAGAATTTGTGAATCTTAAACTCACGGCCATACACCTGGGGTAGACCCAATTTGCATCTAGTCCGTATCAGTTATATTTATATATGTTTAGATTAACTGTAAGATGCTGTTTATTTTTTCAGATACGCGGAACTGCGCCGTCGCATTGTGTCACGCATGGAATCTCTAAAAGTGCATTTGTAAATGCCAACGGAATCTCCAACTGCATCAAGTTTTTATATAGCCATAATGTTAATGCGGCCAAAAAAAGCGACAGCAGCAAAGCAAATAGTATTCCTTACATTTATTAATTTTCATATAGCATTTAGGCAAAATAACGCATAATTTAGTAAACATTTGGCGCCCCAGTGAACAAAGCAGCCGCTGTCTTGAGCCGCAGTTAATTTTTTGTTGTTGATAAAAATGTAACTAACAACCACAATCAGGCATTTCCAATTTAGAAAGCGATTAAGACTTGTAACTAACCAAAAAATAATTATTAATCTGCGTACACACACAGACTACCAAACTATTATACTAATTTCTTTGTGTTGAATATCAAAAGATGTGTGTTTATCTATTGTTTATTGATAACAAGTTTAAGAGCCATGGTAAACAAAAACAGCAAGAATATGAATTATATGTATGTATAGTTTTTATAGCATCAAGTGCGTGAAATATTTAGCGCAACTTTTTTACAGGCCATTCGATAAAGTTAATTGATTGAAAGCAACAGTAACAATAACTATATGTAAACTAAGATGGACTTGTTGATTGAAAATCATTTGAATATCAAATTAAATGTAAAGATTTAACAAACATGTTGATGATCAGATTTCGAACAAAAGGATTCCTTAAGCCTCAATAATTATCTATGCACAAGCACAGGCGCAGTGACCCGTGCCAGTTGGCGTTACACCAGAGCAGAAGTCAATGATGCCATTACAAGTAAAGAAGCTGATGTGGAAGCAGCCACACACATACACACACACACACACGCTCATAAGCGGCCCAGAACGCGGCCTATGTGACTGTGTGTTCGGGACTATTAATTTTAAACTGACAGAGCCTGGGGGCCAACGTGGCTGGGACTTAGTCTTTTCCAAATGCGTCGACTTGGTGGCTGCGAGGCGCTGACGCGTTAAATGCTTACGGGCTATCCCGGTCAGAAGCGTTGGCAATAATCGTGGTGACGGCGTCATCGATTCGGGCCAAGTGTGCCAAGCGCCAATACAGAAAAATCAACAGCCAACGACACTAGAAGCAGCAGCAACAACAACAACAACAGCAACAGCAACAACTGTGGTCCATTTGGAATGTAAACGCGATTTAGGCACTGGGGGCAGGTTCACGACCCATTGGCCAAAATTGCCGCGGCGCAGTTAAGAGACATTGTTGGAGCGGCAAGAGCACTAGCGAGTCGAAAAATAAAATCGATTCTGGATGTTGGTATGTCGCAGACTCGGCTCTCAGCCTTTTATTGTTGCTGATGGTGGTGCTGCGGATGCGGCTGGTTGTCGTCTGGAAGCGCTAGTCCCAGCAATGCGAATGTCGCGCGAGAGCAGGCGACGATTGGACGGGGGTGGATTATTGCGCATACGCAGTGGCGTACACTGAAACAAATTATAGAAAAGATCTACAATTGAATACGCCCAACTAAGAGCCGTGGAGTTGTAAAGCTTATGATTGTCTTACAAGAAATTCGAGCTTAAACTGGAACATATTTAAATTTCATAGTGCTGGCCACAATTGAGTAAAAGCGTCTCCTGTTGTGGCCCAACCTGACAACCCTATGTCATGTGACAGTTCCATGTGCGCTCTCTTACGTATCCTTGTGGCGCTCTTTTGCCGCTGTCTCCTCGGCTGCCGCAAAATTCCAATGCCGTTTGGGGCCGAGCAATGCAAATCGATGTACGCTCAGTTTACGTTTTGGTCGCGTCGCCTACAGTTCTATTACGTTCCGCAATCCTGCTGCACTGCATCGTTCTGAAGCGCCAGCGATTGCACAGCTCAAGTACAAAACTTATACTCACTTGCGTGTGTGCGTCTGTTCGTCTGTGTGTTTGTGTGTGTGTGTTCGATTGTAGGTGTGCGCGTGTGTGAGCTATCGAATACTCGGATTTGATTCGACTCGCAATTAACATTGCCAGCGGAAGTCGTGAACTATTCGCGTCGCATTTGAGCCGCTTCCGTTAGCGACGCTCCACGTCTCCAGCAAGTCCTCTTATCTACCGCTGCCGCTCCCGTTGCCATGAAGCGTTTGCGTTTGCCGCTCATTGCCAGCGTTTGTCTGGTGCTGGTGTTGATGTCATCCTGTCTGCTTGGCAGCGCCGATGCCAAGAAGAAGAAATACGTTGGCGAAACTGGCGGTGATTTTGAGTTTATCGATGAGGTAAGTTCCAAATAACTCTCAACTCTATATCCAACTTGGCTGTCATCGTGTCCGACTGTCACTTAGTTAATACAACTAAGCTGCCCTCCTCTGTCTATAGAAGTGTGTGCGTGCCTGGCTATGCGTGTGCTTCTTTTGGCCCAAATAAAACACATTTGCGCTTTTAGTCAGCATTTTTTTTTTTGCTTCTGATCGAACTCTTGTTGTCGCTGCTTTTATGCTCTTTCACAAAATAAAAAGAGTATATTGGCTAAGATACTGTCCGTCTGTTCGTTAGAATGTGATTTCTATTGGAGATATTGAAGTACGAGACTTGATTTTTGGCTTCTTAAACGGGACGTGACAAATCGCGAATCTATATCGTCTAAAAGCTATAAGAATCACATAAAGATTACTGATGCGATATTCAAGAAACGGATGCTATTACATTTTTTATAGCATACATTTGGCGGTCAGCCCAAAATAAGCTGAACGGCAGTTCGTTGCACCCGACTGCTAAAATCATAAGTCCATTGAAAATGGTACAATAGAGAATTATAATATATATGCATATATTCTTGATCAGGACGATGAACTGTCAATCCCTTCTATCTGCCACAAAAGAAATCTGCACTTTCTTATATCATTTTTAGGCAAGCTGTTAATTTTCTCGATATCTCTTCATCTTTCTCCACCCGCTTTATACACAAAACTTGTGGGTTCTCGTAAAACCAGATGGAGTATATTTAACATTTTTAAGTATATCGCCCCATTCTCGCAAAAAGCGCCCCCATTCTAAGAGTTGAGTTCAAAGTGCACAGCATTCGGCAGGTGTAGGGTGTATGAGGGTATTTGCAGTGTATCTACTAGTCGGTCACTTTCGACTAGAGTGCTGTCTGATGTTTTTTCTCTCTCTGTAATCTCAACTCTCAACTTTGGAAACGCTACTGAGGCTTCACAACAAAACACAGACACTTGCAGCTACTTGGCACAGTCATCCTACCTGCTGCGTGTGTCCAATACGCTCGCTCCTCTTGGCCCAAACGCTTTTCTTGCCAATTACTCACGCAAATCCGATTTGTAGTTGTTGCAGTTTGTAGTTGTTTTTGTTGAACAGGCAGACAGTAAGCCAGGCACTGGCAACGACCAAGCACCTGGCTAGGCCCCACGGCCTCCAGGTTGGAGTGTGACAGAGAGACAGACAGAGAGAGAGAGAGAGAGGGCGCTAGAAACACTAAAAATCAATAGCTAAAGCATTTGGCGGCCTCGAGTCGTTTGCAGCGCGTAAGCGTAAACTATGAAGTAAGCACTAAGCAGCTTTGAATTTGTCTGCCAACACATAGCCCGACCCGCCCCTCCCTTCACCAGTGCCCGTTGCCCCTTCTTGTTGACTGTTAGTCACAGACGCAACGTCGTCGTCGCCATTGCTATTTGCATTGTTTTTGCAGCCATTTGCTTCTTCTGCCCAATGCGTCGACATTTTGCTGCTCCGTTTTGTTGTTACATTGTTGTTGTTTTTTTTCTGTTTTTGGTTTGTTTGCCATTTCAGTTTTATTTCTTTTCGTTTCCTTTTTGCCATCTAGCTCTCTTTTCAGTTTTTTTTATGCGTGGTCATTGCTGCGTTCCTCTCTCAATGTATGTCTTTGTATGTGTGTGTATGTGTGTGCTAATAGGCCCATGCGTATGTGTGCATGTGTCTGTGCTATTAGGCGCTGCCGCCTCTTGCCTCCTTCACACACACACACATACACACACAAATACACGTCGTGTGAAGCTTTGAAGAAAATATATTGCAAGGCTAAAGTTTTTTGGGAAAAAATAAAACGAAGAAAAAAGGCATCTGAGCCGAATGTACTAACGCAGAATTTTAAACAGTAGAAAACAGTGCCACATGCGTGAGTGTGGGCGGCGGTGGGCGGGCTATGGGGCAGCATGTGTAGCACACATAACAACAAAGCCATTTTTCAGATTCGGCTTTAAAATTACTTTTCTTTTACATCCATAAAAACAATTGTACATGAACAGCATCTTGTTCAACATTGACCAAGCACACGATCGAATCTGCATCTTTATATAAATTTATATAAAAATATTAGATATTACCTTTTCACTGAGTACACGCCCATGGAAAATATAAATCAACCCCTTTGGACTCTATTTCTATTTAAAAATATGCAACGAAATATGCATGTTAGTCTTGCAGTGAGAATTTCGAAACTGTAGAATAATTGTTTGCCTTTCACCTGTATTTGCCATGTGAGAACTTATCAAATAAATTTTCTTCACACTTACGGGTGGCATTTCCCGAAAAAGCGTCCTAACGTGCTCATACACCACATAAGGTAACTACAGTGAACATTTTCAGTATCCTAGCTCGTACGGTATGGACTGTACGTTGAATCAGTCAGTCAGTCAGTAAGTCAGTCAGTCAGTCAGGTAGTCAAACTGTTTTATACATAGAGATATATTAATTTATATTATTTTATATTTAAGAAATACAACACATATGAATAAAATGTCATACCCATATCTGTTACATGCATATCTAATTATAGTAATTATCTAAAGTTACCACAAAAGATTAAACGACGCATTAATAATAACATGTGGTCCCATTAGCTCACACACTCCAAACTAATGGTTCAGGGAATATTTACATGACCTAATTGGCAAATTGTTAATTTATATAGATTATATAGATATATAGATTACAAGCTTTATATCAAATCCTTTAGAGCTCATAACAGAAGATCTTATAATCAAGCGTCTCTTTTGATTTTGTTTCGCTTGTTAAGAAATAAAAAATCAAATCTCGAATTTACGTATCTAAAACGATATAAATTGGAAAAACATTAATTAATAAATCTAATAAACTTTGTGAAAAGCCGGCCATGTCATATTAAAGCGGATGGCTAAAATTCACTTAATTTCAATTTTTACTTTTTAACAATGTGGAAAATTGCATGTGTTTTGTCTGTTTGTCGTTTTTGTTTCAGCTCAAGCGTGTGGTATGTGTCAAAATAAAAAGGCTGCATAAATTTAATTTTTATGGGTTTTATTTGTTACACTTCTGTTTTTTTATGGCTAATCGTATAACATCTTTGGCTCAGACATTTTCCAATGAATTTGATTGTTTATTTAGAAACTTTGTTTTTTCAAGTATTTAGAAATGCCATAAATTATGTGAAAAGTTTTTGTTACCAAATTGTTTTCATTTACCGAGGGGGCTGAGCGAATTGAATTTAATTGAAAAGTTGTCTATGCTGTTTCAACGAGCAGACACATTGAGCCCGACAAAAGTGTCAAGGATTGCCAATCAGAAGACGAACAGAAAACAAAGTATTTGTATAATATGCCACATCTAGGGGGTGGTGGGAGGTGGGAAATAA